AATAATGGTGGTAAAAACTCTGCCCCTCTGGTCCTCTCTCCTGTGAATGCAACTGAGTGGACTCATTTTTTTTAGACTGCAGTAAGACTCACGCCATAAGTTGATTACTTTTATTTTGACTACTAAAAAGGCTTCAATGGTCGCCAGAGGAGAAATTCTTATTATGAGTTTTTATCTGCTGTCACAATGTGGCAGGAAGGAAATGTCAACTTGTTCAACACTTTGGCTCATGACAGAATAATCATAAAGGCTTTATGCTTCTGACAAACATAGTGGATCATCAAACAGCGTGAAAAACATCCTTAGGACCAGCTGAATAAGAGAAGTGTTGAGATTGAGCTCATACACACTGATGACCTCCTCCTCTAAACGGTCCAAAGTGTGCTCCAGTGTGGTATTGTTGTTGTAAACTTAAGTGTCCTAAATTTCATGTATCCCGTTACTCGGTTGCAATCTGGTGGAGCACATCGATACGATTTATTAGCTCGTCAGCCTTGACGAACCCACCAATGGGACTATTGGCACAAACATTACTGGTAATAATGATGGCAAACGTCAAAACAAACAACATACTGTATATCGTTGTACAGGGTAGAAAATGCTTCTTTTTGTCATTTTATGCTTTATTAGACAGTTACAGCTGGAGATATGGACAGGAAAGAGAGGGAGAGAGAGAAGGAGAGGGGGGATTACGTAAATTAAGGGCCCAGGCAGGTAGGCAGGTATTAAGGAGCCTTAATACTGTGAAGATCAGGGGTCTCAAACGTGGTGCTGAGGGTACCTGGTAGCCCTATAAGGTGCTCACAGAGCATGTTCTGTAATCTCAGTCATTATCTCAAATACTTTTGCAAGGAAGTGTACAAATGGCTTTTAATTTTCTCCCTTTATGTATCTAAGATCAATAATGGATGTTCATATTTGATTTTAATTTCCAACTTTTATTTTCTTTGCTACTGGTGAAGCTTCTTTGGGTTTATTTTTATAATACACACTGGCAGGGATAAGAACAGCTACAACAGCTGAGATTGTATTCGGACAAGGTACGTTTTATCAGT